TAAAAATAATGAACTTAAAATTAAAAAGGAAAGATCTTGAACAAAATTATTTTTAAACACATTTAATTTGATATTAACTATTTCGTAATATGGGATGAAAAGGGTTGAAAAATAAAGAATAAAATCCATATTATCGCTTAGTATACTGTATTTATTAGGATGTAAAATAAACTTTAAAAATTAAATATTGTTTATATTCGAGAATAACTTGTAAGACGAACAAAAATAAATGCACAAACATTGAAATTTGCAATATAATTAATAATATTATAAACAAAGCATATTTCTGCTAAACTTGGATAACGTACATTAGCAGAGACCTTTCGATTCCTTCAATGTAGTATCCAATTTCGTTAGTTTTGGACTCTACCAGTACAGGTAGTCTAAAAACCTATCAATTCTATCGGCACCTGTTTCTGTTATTATATATATCTAAAAATAAATTCCAACAATTATTGATCGTTTAAATATCAAAATTAAATTAATAACTAATATAATAAATACAGCACAAAATTATATGATACTATTGTATATGAAAACAATTTAACTGAGATAAATATGTCAGGTCTATATTCTAATATTTATCCTAACATTGTTTTTGATATAGCAAGGTTCGTTTATCGCAGGATATTAAATAAAAATTTTAAACTTTTGTTATGTATATAATTTGTGAAATAAATAAATATATATATTATAAAGTATAATATTGAAATAAAATAATCACGTAAGATGACTGGAATAAACAAGTAGTTAAATATAAAATACAACTACTGGATAATAAGTATTCTGTCACCACATCATACTAATCATTAAGTGAACTCAACAACGAAAGCAATGAATAATTCAGACTTTGTCTACACTTTGCGTTATTTAATGTTTGTATGGTGTACACCGCAATAAACATCACCACGTGTGCTGGAATATATCGACAACCTATAACACTTCAGGTAATGTCGACGTTTTGCTAAACTTACCCAGAATCACTTTTGTTTGTGAACCTCAAAATAGAAGTATGTACATTTATAAAATAGTATATTATTTTAAATTTATATTTTATAAACACAATAATTTTATCAATATTTTCATTGTGTTATGGTTTACATAATAGGTAATCAAAATTTACAATAAATTATATGATAATAAACGTCAACGTAAATTTTGTCGATATTAAGATCGAAAACTTGGTTGTATTCTTCATATATTTAAAATTTTTTTTTTCTATATTTATTACACATAATTCATAAATATTTTATTATTAAATTCAAGTAAATAATTAAATTAAACTAAATTAATATCACTGTATCAATACCATGTAAGATACCTAGCAAAAACTTAAAATAAAAAGTATATTATATACTGAAAATTAGCAAGAACACGATAATGCTTAAAATAACTATGCCTTGTTTATTTGTGCACGTAGCACTTTTTAATTGTTTAATGCAAAATCCATTTTTAATATTGGTATTGATCGTTGATTTTTATGTTTGTTATTTTCATGTGGTGTTGATGAATTGGTAAGAGGTAAGAGTTACTTTTGCTGCCATACATTTTTTCTGTTCCAATTTTCTCTTGCATTATTTTCTTGTTATTTTCTTGGTTTGTATAGAAACAAATTTACATGATTTTCTTTCATAATACAGTATAATGATGAATGCGAATCTTCATTCTCATCATCAGTGACATTGAATAATTCATCTGGTACCTGAATATATGGTTATTGTGGTGAATCCTAATTGTTATCATTGTTATTGCCACTTATTGATGATTGACATCATGATAATTATTTAAGTAAAATGTATAACAAACATCTGGTCCTAGATTATCCAGAGTAGGGTAGTTTTATACTATATATTTCTAAAAATATTTAGAGATGATCAATTTTGAAAATCGATATATAATATTTGTATGGGACTTTTATTATCAGAAGTTATATATTCAAAGTTTAATAGATGTTTATGAGATTTTATTAACAGGGATCATCATAATCAAGAATTTTTTATATATATAAATAAATTATATGATATACATACTAAATTTATACCAATACAGCATGTGTAACCTTATATTGAAAATACTTTTAACACTTATTTAATAAAATAAATTTCTGAATATTAAACCAACTATAACGGTTAGGTTATATAAAGAAATTAGAAAACTTCAATGTATATTTCATGCTAATGGTATACTAAATATTTGTATTAAAATAAAATAATATTTATTTATATTCTTCATAAGGATAATAATTAACTATTATTTAACGGCAGCCCACATTTTTAAACATCATAATTTTTCGTTACAAAATATATGTTCGAACGATTTTAATATTTTATTTGAAGTAATATATTTATCACCATTTATAATTTCTGATGGATTGTACAAAACAAAATATCACTCTTTATAGTGTTACTGGATATTTTAATGCAAAAAGACTTAAAAATAATATATCAAAATCACAAAAATTGCAACATTTCCATTGTGTGCCGGGCTGGCGCAACGGTGGATAAGGAAAACGATTTTCAGCATTAAAAAAAAATTTGCGAATTTTAACAGCAGTCATTCAAATGTATGCTAATAGCGTGCTAAATATTGGTATATCTATATAGCTGATAATTATGCTTTTTCTATTGGGCCGGGCTATCGCATTGTTGCGCCAGCTCGGCTCATCAAATTTTGGCTTTAACTGTTAAACCAATATCATGCAAATTCTAATTTTAGCCAAGCAAATTCATGTTAATTACATGCTAAATATTAATGCAAAAATTTTCCAATACTTCGAAAAGGGCCGGGCTGTTGCAACGTACGTGATATGATGGCAAGTCCATGGATATTTAATATGGTTGTTAATATATATAGTATGCACCAAGACTGATCATTATAGATATTCAGATATTCTTAAGAGTCACTATAATTTAAAGCCAGGATAAAAATAATATCATTAACAACAATAACTGATTATATTGTCTCGTTTCTTATTTTATTTTTGTAAAATCGATGGTCATTCAATAATTACAGGAATTGTGCTTGTGTCATACTCATTACGTCGTTTTCATCGTTTTATTTTTTTACTTAATATGGTTAAATTTATCTTAATTAATCGCAGAAAAATATTATTAGTTTTAGATAGTTATACATTTTTTACTAGATGAGATAAAAAAAAAAAAATTTAACACATTGGCGGTGTATTAAAAGAGATTGTCATGCTAAAATGTTCACAGATCATCGTGAAAACGTATCACACAACTATTCTCCTTATAATTAACTTAACGTGTATACGGAAAGCAACCGATGCACCCTCAGTTAGACCAAAAACAGTTATCTTAAAAGAAATTGGTGAAAATGTTGAGTCTTTGTAGTTTACTACGACATAAAAAGAATAAGGAAGAATGTGTATGAAGCTCGGCACCAAGTATTACCTGATGTCTCACATATTTAGAAGAAGTTCATTTGTCATTGGAAAATATGGATACAAAAACTGAACAAGGTGAGCTCTTTTCTACTTATAAATGACAAAAAAGAAAATATCGTTAAATTTTTATTATTTCATTAATGTTTTGCTTACTTCCAAATAAGACTACCGAAACATTCGAAACTTCTATTTATTATACATTTTGCTTATAGATATGCATTTCTCTAGGTGTAACCTTATTATCGCAGTATGTAACGATAGATTTTTAAAAAGCTATAATTAATGTAGTTATGAAATTTGGACAAAAACCCAAATTATTGGGTATAGATTTCACTTAATTTAAGCTTGATAGGTATAATCAAGTCCATAAAATAGGACTATTAAATATCAAGACTGATTTTCGGAAATTAAAAAAAAAAGGTTGTGCTACAATTTTGGATTGCTATTTTTAAAACCAAGCAATATTTTAGATTGTTTTCCTCGAAACTTAATGGCTGATCGTCCTATAAGTGATAGTTATCAAATAGGCAGACTATCACGTTTAAAACTATTTAACAGCAAATTGTGACAATCTTCCAGAAATATGTGCAACAGTAAGCTACTTGTTTACAACACACGACTAATAACTGTGAATCCTTTCATACAAATTTGAAATTCCAATTGAAACTTTTATAAATCCATCCATTTTTAATTTGCTTGCGGTTTTAATTGGTGAAGGGCCAACTAAAATTTGTTTAAAACTTAGAAGTGTTATTACCAAACGTAACTCAAGATCGACGATTCAATAGAGAAAATCCAAAAATAAAAAATACATTATAGTCCATAAATTATCAAAACGGATTACTTGACAGGTATAGTATATAATTTATTAAAATAACTAGGCTTCATTATTACCTAATAGTAAATATATCTCTAAAATATCACATTTGTAGGTATGGTTTTGTGTTAGTTTCAAATATTTATTTCAAAATCTAGTGAACCAGTGCCAACAAAAGTCAATACTATTGGCTATTATTATATTTTAAATAATTTTCAGTACTTACCTACTAATTATTTTAACTTTTTAATGAAGTTTAATAAATTTTAAATTACATACATAATTAAAAATGTAATTGCGCGAAATATTTAGTAAATAATAAAAAAAATAAATATTCTATTGTAGAACATATTATTAACCTACTATTATATTCAAGGCAATTGTGAACTATTGTGAAAATCAATTTTAAATAATTGTATAATATAAACCATTTTTATATTATCTTTTCTTTGTATACTATACATTTTATCTATTATAGTTGATAATGTAGTCTAGCGTAAATATTCATATGTTTTCAGGTTAGTTTCGTTTTGTAGCTTTGGTAGCAATATTTTCCATGTACTTAGTATGGTTTAAATATATTGAGAAAATTTCGTAATAAATAATAGTTAAATTAAATTGATATTTTATACAATGCTTAAAATAGTTATTACTTATTACCATAACACAACCACCTCGCTGTTAGGTATATGGTTTGAAAAAAATATGTATTTCGCAAAATAAATTTGTTCGAATAATATAGATCATGTATTATGTACAAAAAACAATAATGCCGGTTTCAATGGAAAGTTGATTAAAAAAATAAAAAATCACAACACTTATACATTTTCTAATGCTTATATAAATACTTAATAGGTATTACAACAGTCAACGAAAGTAGTCAGTTGAGTTGATACTTGGCACGTTTTGCCATATTTTACGATCATGATGTATCATGGTTATGACGGGTTCTAAGGAATCTTCAAAATTGGTCAGGCTGGGCAAAAGCGAATTTTGTTCTTCGTAATTATTAAAGCCCGAATCATTTGACCATCTCTTGTACGTAGGAAACATCATGGAAACTTCTAGCGAGTCTGGTGTCATGTGCAACGTTCTTAAAATTTGAAAAAATTATTATTTTTCTAAATAAAATTATTTGACTTTTGATAAGACATAGTCTCAAGTTATTCACTATATCTTACTCGTAAACCGAAGGTTCCAATGAATCGTGGTACGTAGTATTATCAGCGTAACGTTTTACCGGCGAAGACACAGAAGTTATGGTCAACCGACGAAAATGTTCGATAAGTTTTCCATGTGGAATAGGAACATCGTAGATTACTTCTTTAGATCCCTAAAATCGATAATTTTTAATTAGAAAAGGTGTTTGATTATTCGCATATTTAAATAAAGTAGTTTTAAATTTGTAATAATTAATGTATAAATAATAAAATCGAATAATACTTATACGTACATTAGCATAATTTATCAAAATTTTATTTTGCATTAGTGTATTATAGTAGTACAGTGTATGTGTAATATAATTTACCTGCAGTGGCGCATAACATTTTTTGATACCTGTCCACCATAGTTTTTTATTTCGATGAATTAAAATTTAATTTAATATACTTATTTGTACAAATACCCTCTTATGAAATCACTTTTTTATTTAGTACGAAAATTTTGTGGTCATATTTTATTTTTCTATACCGAAGTTAAATAAAGAACTATTATGTACACTGTACAGGTATAGTATAATAGATCATAATAATGTTTTTTAAACATAGTTCATGAACATTTATAAGGTACTTACATTTTTTAAAATGTAAACATCATCTATTATTTTATGTTGTAGATTCTCGTCGAATAAAACATTTTGTTTATGTTTTTTTTTTATTGGCAAAGGAGGCGGCTCGTCTTCCACTTTAACTGATTGCTCGGTACCATACTCAAGTATTAAATCTGATTCCATTGTAAAAGTTTTACGATCGTTATTTACATATATTACATCTATATTTGCTTCTTGGTTATGAAATTCTTCATCTGTTGACATCAAAGTGACTTCTTCGTCTTTTTCCGCATTATAATGAGGAAGTACCTCTGGATGATGTTCAGATTTCTCATCTTTTGCTATTGCTAAAAATATATACTAATTATATAGGCATGTAGTTTTATTAATGTATAATAAATATTAAATATATATTGCATATTATAATCTATATTTATATTTTTATCATAATACCAATTTCTGTTTTAAAATATTTAATAATACGAGTAATCAGTGCATTAATAAGCTGTATTAAAAAAAAATAATTTCATAAGTATCAAGTTTTATAATCAACAATATAGCTATAGTAAACTTACGTTCCGTAAAGTTTTGATCGATGTGGTTTGGTTCGATTTCAACATAATCATAATCGTCGGAATCCGAATCTTTGCGATGCTTACCGAAAAACGATACCGATCTACTGATCCTTTTAGATACATAGTTATTCGTACATTTTTTGGATATTTGTCTTGTGATCTTGGGCATAAGTTCTCTACAGCTTTGCGATTTCACTGGCTCAATTGGTGTACACTTTTCTTGTGGCTTAAAATAAATGCTTTCATATGACAAACTTCTCGAGCGACAAGACTCCTTATCGCTCACCTGAGATGTCCCAGCTATCGTTTCGGTGCGAACGAGGCCGTGAATTTTCCTGTAGAAACTTATTCGATTGTCAGATTCAGATTTCTTCAACGTTGAAGATTTTCTATTGGTGCGAGCCATAATATAACGAATATCATTATGCTTATTGTGTTCCTCGAAGGATATGCCATTAAAAGTCTCTTTAACTGATCTACAAAATCGTAAATGATTTTCGTTAATGATATTGCGGTTATTAGAGTTAGGTTCCACCAAAGGTATTTGATAGGATAACTGGTAGTTTGTTTCCATAAAAGATGAATTTCGGTCCTTAATAAAAGCCAGATTATTATTTTTAGCGTCCTTCAAAGCAGCAAACCATTCATCTAAATCAGATTTTGATTTCGTTCTCTAAAAAATAAAATCATGATAAAAAAATTAATACATTTTTATCATCAAGATAATCCAATTATAATAATTTCTATACAGAATATATTATATAATCTAAATTAATAATTAATCATATACGATTCTTTCTAACTATGTGTTACTATTTATATTATAATATTATAACTACCTAAAAATCTCAATATATTACACTACATTTCTACATACTTTTGATTCTCATCACATTAATATAATTTACTTAAACTTTAACCTAACCGTGTAAGATATTTTACATGAATTGTATTTTATAAATCTTGGGATTATTATACCTAATAAAATTACATTAAATATGTATATGATATTCTTATTACTTAGTTTATAATTATATATTAGTTTATTATAACTGTATTTTAATAATGCATAGTTTTATTTTTAAACGTGTATGATGATATTAAATTTAATTGAAAGAAACATTATAATTCTATATAATTATTAATGATATTAAGACTATTAAGTATAAATCGAATGCATTATCTTCTTATATACTCTGATTCTTAACATTTAAATTGCATTAAAATTTAGAATTACATAAATATTTAGAATTTAAAATTCGTTTTGGTAATAAAATAATCTACTATTAACTATAATAATTAATAAGCATCAAAACCGCAAACGATATCTTACAAAACTAGCTACATCATCATAAAAACCCATTAAAATTCTCTCATATGAATTTGATCTTATTTAGATTAATTTGATGCTACTCATCGACTAAAAATAAAATGTCTTTAAAACCCAATAAATAAACCTTCGAATACAATTTATATAATTATTTACTTCTTTGTTTTTTTAAAATAAATTAATAATTATAACATTAAATTAATGTTTTAATTTTCAAATTTTACTGTAAATTTAAGTTTATGAAAAGCAATAATATTTTAAACAGATAAGATATTTCCCTTTAATTTTTAATAATTATATATTTGATGCTAAATAATGCGGTCTTCCATTACCCTCATCTACAGTACTCAATAATTATATTAGAAACTATAAAAAAAATATACTTTATTTTAGTATCTACTGAGTATTTTATTTAATAATACTATGAAAAATTCTGAAATACGACAATAAAATGTTAATAATTACCTAGTAAACTCCAGTTTATAATAACATTTTCTGAATATATATAGTTTAAATCATTTAATATTAAATTTAAAAATACCTACCTCATATAGTGTCTATTTAACTTCATCGATAAATATGTTTATTGTTTATATAAATAATAATACGAGTATACTAAAATATGAAAACGAATAGCTCAGCAAAAAACTTTGAAATTAGTTGTAACAAAACTTGTATTTATTATAATAATAACTGGCTTATACCTAGATAGTATTTATTAATTTTATATCAAATTAATTTTAATAAATTAGACATCTAAATTTAGTTTGGGAATTCAGTGATTAATAACTATACTCACTAAGATTATAATTTGAGATCTAGTGACGATTTGAAATTGACATGGACCCCGTAGTGTTATAGACAATGCAAGGCCCATGTTGACTGAACCTCTACAAGGTGATAAATGATGAGAATACTCTAATTGAGTTCTAAAATACAGCAACAGTTTGCCTTCAAGTACACACCATCTTTTTTTCCAACGACGTACACCAACAACTCTCTATAAGAGATATTAAATGTAAAATATTATTATATGTATAGTAAAATAATACAATTATTTGTATAACACAGTATAATTCATCAAGCATGCTCAACATATTTAATATCATATTTTTAAGTTCTTGACATTTTTAGTATTATTTTAAGAATGTCCTGTGGTAAAAACTTTTGTATTTTAAATGAACATCCAATTTTTTTAAAATTGTTTGTATACTTAAAATAATTTTACAAAGCTATAATATAGATGTTAAATCAAATCTAGTATATATATTATATTTAAACAATTTTTATGAACTATTAATAGATTAATTTAAATTACTAAAGATTTCGAATTTACATATTAGCATATTTTCAAACTTATTATTAAGAACTTTGATTTTGATGTTGATACGTTAACATTTTTAGAAAAATTAATCAATACATAATTTACAATATAAAAGAGATGTTGTCATTTAAAAAATAAACATTTGTATCACCACAGTTCAATTTTTTGAATATCATAAAAACTATCAAGAATTTGAAATTTTTTACCTATGTATATTTAAAAATTCAAAAAATTAAATTTTGAATAACTGCATTATTTATTGAAGAAATAAAAGCAGTGAGCAATGAGCATGTTTGATAAATCACTTTGTACATATAAATACACCATATATATAAATAAGCGTATCATTGTGTCTGTGCATTCTGCTAACAATTAATTTACCATATCAATTTTAAATCTGATTTTATATGAAAAATGTATTCATTTATTTTAGATTGTAAGTGAAGTAATCAATTTATTAGTTTTCAATGTTTCTTAAATTTCGATTTGAAAGAATGTATTTAATTAAAAGTAAATAATTTACTGCACTTTTCAAAATATCATAGAAAACCGAAAAAAACTTAAAAAAAAAAAAAAAACAGAAATATTTTGGCTATTTTTAACCCTTAGACATTTAAGTTTTTTTTATAAACATGCAGATAAAAAAAAAATGTTTGCTTGGTCATAAATCTTAAAAACGTGATAAAAAATGTCTTTTTTAAATTGTTTTAATAGCTATTTAAAAATATTAATAATAAATAAGAATGATTTTTTTCTAAGCATTTGAAGTTCAAAATTATGAATACTAATAAATGATTTAGTAAATAGTACATTTATAAAATGTTTAAAAAGAATAAAAGACCGTATTCATGTATAATTGTTTTTGTATGTAATAATTTATTATTGAATTCAAATTTAAAAGATATAATATAAAAATGACTTACTTAATGACGAGTTACACTCAACTATGTAGCAGAATGGTAAATTATATTATAAAATTTCTCTCTTTTTTTAGTTTGTGATGATAAAAATATTTGAATGTAATTAAAAAACATAGAAATTTAATATACGCCATACGGTTACTCAAATTATTTGCTTAAAAATTGAATACAATGTTCAATATATTCATCATAAATTAGTCCAACGGTCTTCTAAAATTTTGATACTAGGTACCTACTATATTATGGACAATTATTTTTATAGATACAGTCAACTTGTGATATAACGAAATTCGCTGTAACGAAAATCTCAATATAATGAATGAAATTTCCGGTCCCTTTAAAATATCGCGATTTAATGAAAAAATATAATGTATTTTGGTCCCCTCGATATAACGAAGCTTTTTTTATCAAAACTCTCGCGATGTAACAAATTTTTACAAGTCTGGAGCATGCTATTACGAATTTTTAATTTTAATTAAGATAAGATACATGTATCTATTGTATAACTCTATGAAAAATATATAAAAATAAGTATGTTACTAGGTATTTAAAAAACAAAAAATGAACATGCATAATACACAGCAATATTATTACACATTTATATTGAAATTAAACAATAAATACATGCTAATATTACTCATGTATTTCATACATATGTATACAATTAAATACAATTATTTAATAAATATATATTTGTTTTTTATTTATTTAAATTTGAATTTTTCTTAAAATTTCGTTATATCGAATTTAATAGGTATATCTTGATGTAACGAACTTTCGATATAACAAATTTTTTTCTCGGTCCCTTGAAATTCGTTATTTCGCATGTTGACTGTATTCACAATTCAAATCAGGTCAAAAATTGTATATTTAAATTTAAAATAAGGATTTTTCTTTAATAAATGAAATCTTTATGTTGTAATTTAAAAATTATTAATCGCAGAGACTTTAAACAATTTGACATTACATATTATTTTTTTTTATTTTGTATAATCAAATGACTAATTTTAAGCTGCTTATACATGCTAATGTTCATAGGTATTGACTAATAATTTAATAACTAGATACAATATATAATATTTTAAAAATTATTTTATAATATATAATTTTTTTTTTTGAAAAATTAAGTTTAATAAACCGTATTATTAAAAACACACATTACACATTGTTTACTCAAAAAGTTTTTAGTGTGCATTTATTATTCTTGAATTTAATCTTAATATTTTCATTAGAGTGATTTATTCATTAGTTTTTGATCAGTTACAGTCAAAACTTACTATATACCGTCGTTTATATTCCTTTTTTTTTAATTTTATAATTTTATATAGATTTTGAATATTTAATATCACATTATTAATTATCATATATTATTAAAAATATTATTCAAAAACTCAGGTTTACTAAAAAGTTAAAATATATGTATAATATACTCATTTTCAGTTAACCATCAATAATATTCTACACCATAATATAAAAACATTAAAAACTAACATAATAAAATTAATAACTCGTGAATTATATACAAAACAAGATTTAATCAATTTTGTTTAGTTTGTTAAGAGTAAAGTATACAGTTTTTATATTAATTTATTGACACATGTAAAATTTATTCTATATCAAATATATAGAGTTCATTACTAACCATTCTGCCCTTTTTTTCTAAATAGCCAGCCATTTTAATAATCAGTTGCTTATCATGCTTCTTATCTACAACGTCCGGCTGCATGTCTATGACAAACACAAAAATGTAGTAAATATGATGATGAATAGGTTAGGTTAAGTATACAATCATTACTCATTGGAATAAAATATCCCATAAGCTGTTACTGTGACAAGTGCTGTCAATGTGTCATAAAAATTATTTTGATACTTTTTTTTCAAAAATGTTTATTTCTATTTATAGGTACATTTGGCTATTTATCTTCTACACATCAAATAAAATTTCATTGTACCTACCTACTTACAGCTATAATAATACAATATGCGTTTTTACTGCGCTACAACTCAAAGAGATAAATACAATAGAAAAGGTCAGACTTAGAGAACCCTAATTTGGCGTCTCTTTATATTGAGAACTGCACCCGTATAAGTGGGTTCTAACACTTTTCTGTAACACCAATGATCAGCAAAAACATATTTATTCACATACATGTCTAAAATATTTAATACGTTTTAATCAAACTACGTGATAATAATGATTATATATCAAGCTACGAAATTAAACCTCTTTATTGCCAATGACCATGCCCATGTAACCTTTTTAAGCCACTGAGTGTTTAACTATACCAATTACTCCGTATCTTTTTTCCTTCAAATAAAATATAGGAAACATTAATTTAGAAGCCACCTACCGTAATTTCCATCCATATACCATAAAAACCGTTAATCGAATTTTAATGGTTAAAACACTGAAGATTTGGATCGGATAATATCATATGATAAAACCAAATTAATGTTATACAACTACTTTACGATATTTACTTACTATTAAAATGCAATAATTAATAAAATAATGTTGATTTATTGAAATTAAAAGTGAATAGATTTATACTGACAACATTTAATGCTTTTTAAAAAAATTATAAAATTTTGAATTTCTCTTCGTCAAACATAATATTGTTATTCATAGCCTAGTTCTTAAACGCATCATACTTAATACTATACAATATCCGTTTTCTTTTTGAGTTATATTAATTACGGTCTGCTTAACACACTTCTGTAATGGGTATGTATGTATAATAACTAAGTAGAGCAATGTAGGTAATATAAAATAATTTCTTACGTTAAGCATCAGATGTTTTTCGTTGTTCAGCAATAAAATCAAGAATATTTTATTTGAATAATACATATTTAATTAGTTTAACAATAATTTAAAAAATAATAAGCTAACTTAATCTAACCCAACTCGTAAAGATTTTTTATGAGTTTATGACTAATAAAATAACCAAGATCAATTGCGTTTTCAAACAATTATTGAAACATTGAAAACATGAAAACATGAAAACAATATTTTTTAATGAAAATTTTACTTGCTTAATGAAGATAATTAAATTATAATGAGGTTGTCGATTATTCTATCCTATACTGAAAAGTATAGTAAATTAATGTATCATATATTTTTATCCTCCCACATAAATGCATAATATAATTTAAACAATGTCATTTTTATGAACATCAATTTATTCTAACTAGTAGTTATAAATTGTTAGTAATAATGTACCCATGCAGGGAAATCACAATAGTGTTCTTGTTAATGTACGATTCGCAACTATTTCTACGCAAAAACTTTAAACATAATATGTACATTTATGAACATAAAAACCATATTAAATGATTAATAAAATACAAACAACCAGATTAAAATAAAAAAGGCAATCGATAATGTGACATATATGCTCATATATGTGATTATAAAATGCTAAATATGCGACTTTCTCAATATGGGAGTAATAAAAATTGTGTTCTATAAATCTTGCGCTAATACATTTAACACTTTCTAATTAAATTGACTAGTAGATATGTACAAAACGAGAGATAAAGAAATTGCACACAAGTCCTATTTTGTACAATACTATAAAGTATACATATGTGCAAACACGTTAACAATTAAATATAATGTAATTAAATTAAATGTGTTAACACAAAATTTTAGGTTAATAACATAAGTATACGTGTACCTATGTTAAAGGCTAATATTGTCGTTAAATCTATACCTAAGTTTGATTTGGTGGTAGATGCATAGGTACTTGGTTTAAATGTTTAATATTAAATTAATGAATGTTGTACAAAGTAATAGTTATATTTTTATCTACTCAATCACATTTTTTTCCACAGTAGCTTTTACATACACCTGATTAAATTGACCATTAACAATTTTGAAAATTATTAAATACCATATTATTTTTTTACTGCTATTGTTATAGATATATTTTAATATAATTTTCGTCATTACGTCCATTAAAACTATTATATAACTATACTTAATTACTTTTTATTAGGTTTCACTGGTTTTAGTAATATTAAACAAGAATATCTTGATTTTATTTACTATTTATATTTTTACTCTTTAGTTTCAATTAAATAAAATTATTGTTATTTTACTTTGTTCTATACTTCTATGAATTATGAAGTCACGATTATTCGGGGAGAGAGAAATCTCTCAACCGAAACCTTTTTTTTTACTTATACATTATAACTTACCTATAGTTATTATTCAGTATTCCTAATCACTTTACAATTTAACCGCATCTTTCACATGAATCATTTGTGAGGTGTTTAATACTATGCATATAATACATAAAAATTATTATAATGAATAATAATAAAACGATTACAAAGAAACTATTGCAGAACTACATAATAGAATAAAAATACATATCACATTAATGGCAAAATGATAAACAACAATAAACAGGAAGAGCAAAACTATTGATTAGATTCGGACATGGCATGTATTAGTGTGATATCTGCTAACCTAAGCTCATTTATAGGCATATATAGATATCATATATATTGATGAACAAATTTAACCAAATTTCCTGCCTTAAATGTAAAATAGATCAATGATCCAAAATAAATACCAATAGAAAATATTGTAGTCTTTCACTGATGAAAATTACATTTTTTATTTACGAGTACATATTAAAAAATTTAAGAATATAATAAATGTAAAATAAGAACTTTTTTTATTTCTTTATAACTAATTACGAAGTATAACAATTGAAGTATCTCACAAAAAATAGTGATTACATTTGACATTAGGTATAGTTATTTAAAACAAATACTTAAAAACTCAATAAGGATCTTGTGATAACATACATTTTTGTGATTAATAAAATTGTTATATTATAAATGTTTTTTTAATTATTTTAAATAAATACTTTGATTAATCATTAACTTAATTTAAATTATCAATAATCTATTAAAAGTCTATTTAAATGACAAACCTATTGCTTAACTAATTTCAGTTTCAGTAAATTTAGACCTAAATTATACTTCACAATAATTACCTTAAATATGTACTAATCTTTGATAGAGTGTTTGAATATACATAATTTATTTACTAAATAGTCAATATACGACATGTAGTTCCACTGTATAATTATTAATACACTTCAACCATTCTAATTTGTTAAATTCATATGAAATATTTAATTTAAATTTTAAGCTAAATGATAAACTGCCTATTGTTTACTGTCAGTATTATTATTTTATGCGTTACAATTTAGAATAGACTTCAAGTAAAAATAATTATTATAAAACGATTAAGGTACCGTGTATAATATAGGTATACCTGCGATGATGGTCAAAAATATAGAGAACCTTCGATACTTGAAATATTTTAAATTAATTATGCTTTTATATAGTTTATTTTATCTTATAAGAACAAAATTGTTAAATTTTTCATCCAAAGAATAGATAAATACTACCTAAATAAAATAATAAAATATACCAAAATCAATCAATAATTTTTTTAATTATTTTCTTAGATATTAATCACCTACAGGCCATAAATATTATATACTTACTGAATGTTTACAAGAATAAAACAAAAATAATAAACAGGTATATTTATTGTAAGTATATAAAAATATATGATATATTATGTAATATGTGTATTAAAATTGTTTAATATTTTTATTAAATCATTGTTATATAAAAAATTACAGAAATTAAATTACTTTTGCGAACTAATGACTGTTTAAACTCTGAATAATCTAAATACCAATTTGATTTAGAGGATACTACACTTGCATGTGTTGTGTCTGTCTTACAAACATACAATGTAGCAAATTTACGTTCAGAAATATCGATTTTATGTTGTATATTAGAGTGAATTAGTATATTATAAAAATTTAAAGTAAAAGTATAATCAATACTTAAGTGATGATTTTTTTTGATACATTAATATTTCATTTTTTAAATAAGATATGATTATGTTAAATATTAGATACATGAATTTGTATTAGATACAAAAATTAAAATATCGACTAAAGAAAATGATTCTACTGAACACATATTTTTTATATTTATAAAACAAATACAACATATTATACTGTAAGTGTAGAGCCCTTAATAAACAATAAATCGTAGACTTTAATTCTCGTAACAAAAGTACAACGCAAATACTATGGTTTTTATCCACTCAGTAGCACACGAAATAAGTTTATTTTACCTAATAATATATAAACAAACGTTGTATTAATACATTTTTTAATATAAACAGTCATTAAAAGTGATCTATGATCTATTGAACTATTTAACTTAGTTGTTTACAATAATGTGTTAGGGTATTAATAATACCTCTTATTTATATTGTTTGAAACAAAAGAATCAACAAAAAAACAAATATTATTATAAACATATTTTATAAAACTGTTGATGGTGCATTTAAATATTATTCTAAAGTATTAAATTACAATATATAATATGTTTAACACAAGATAAAATTAAATTAATTAAGAGAAAAATGTTGTAGTTGTTGTTTTTATATTATTTAGAAATATTAAGTATACTTACAAGTTACATGTAAGACAATGGATAAAAATATTATTTCATGAATCTTCATCACGGAAGAAATAAGTCATATAATATTTCAAGAATTATTTTAATACGAGTATTTTCCATTGTCATAGAGTTAAAGAAATACATAATTGTTTGAATTACTAGTGCATTAAAAATGACATTCTTGTAAAGTGTACCAAATAATATTTAAAAGTGCTTAAATTTAAATCATTATACTTAACTTAATATAATTTAACTTATTTATAATAGGTATATCATTTAGTATAGTATTTAGGCTTTTAGTAAAGTTTTTATAAAACTTAAAAAGCTTTCTCCTTTTTTTTTTATTATCAAAATGATTTAACTAGGTTTGACTGATTAAGTTATAGGATAATATTTTTGTTGACAAATCAATTATTGTTTTTACATTATGTATGCATTTTAATCAGAGATATTGTTTCATAACAAATAAAATTACTGTTAAATGATCTAAAATATTGAATAATTAATAATTTAAGACTACTACTTATATATAAAAAAAAAACAATTTGTAAACAAAAAAAATTAATATTGTTTATTATAAACTGTGTTTACTTACTGTTTATAATTGTGGATTGGCACTAAATTTGGAAAAGACGAAACAGTTACTTTGAGCAGAGTATAACACATGTAGCTCGTACTCCCGCTTAGTTCACTATGAAACTCATACAGAACATGCACACATTTGATACTGGTGGCTGGTGTGGATTCGTACAAATCCGCGCTCTACCGGAACATAATAATGCATTTGAAGCATTTTTATAAACATTTATATTTACTCCATAATGAAACAATGTTCTGAATTATTTATTTATTTTTAGTAACCTAACTGTTTTTACAATTACGGAATAAACAATATAATGTATAAAATAACTTATAATAGTTAATAGAAATTGAGATTGTTATATACTCGTATTGTTTTTATTTATATACGTAACATAGAATTAATTAGGTTAAAAATAAATTTAATTTATTTAATCAACCAAAATATTACAGTATGTAATTTATTATATCTATAAAAGACTATATTATAATTCTAAATTATTCATATCTATCTAAAAAATGAATATTTTTTACTAAATCTTTTTAAAACCATAATTTTTAATGAAATACTCAAATACTAAAAATACTAATATACATACCTACACGTATATTATACATTTTCAATACTTAAGAGTATAAATTACATTTTTTATTTATAAAATAACAAGTATCTAAACAATTTCAAAAATTAATTATCTTAATTAAAAAATTGTCACCTATTTAAATTATTTAAATATAAATTAAAATAAATATATACTTTCATTTATTTTTTTAAAATAGAGATTTTAAAAAACCTTGTACACATTATATCGTATTAATAACAGAATATGTATCTATATGAAATAATCGGCAATTGTAAAAATTACATTGATATGATATAAAATGTCAATTAAAGTTTAAACTGATCATGTAAGCTATACTATTCACCAGTAATAATATTAAAATATTTCTAATTTAATATAAATGAGTAGATTAAACACTAAAAATGCATTGGCTTTGAACTTTATGTTGAATAAAAATATTCAAATGAGTAACTGTTTTAGGTACTTAATTTTATTAGTTGGTATCCATTATGTTATAAAATATCTAAAAACAAATCGAAAACAAAACAAATAAATAAAAATCATATTCCACTTGACCTCGTTGAAGTTATAGACTTAGATTCAATAGATCGAAAAATTACAGTAAAAAAATTATGTTGATACACAAAATTATTATGCGTTCCTTCCGAATAGATTTAATAGTCATATAATAACTAGTTTTATAAATTACTTACAGAACGTAGAGTATTATATGCATTACTGATGATTCGACAGAAATGTCCATAGTATAATTACCTATGTCTTTGTACATCGACAGTTTGATTGGGGTAATTTTATACCATAAAAGTAATGTTGTAAAACAAATGTGATTTTCATAATTTCACGTTAGCAGATGACGCAATATAACCAAACAACGACGATCACACTGTAACACACCACTACTTTTTTTTTTATCTTCTTCAGGGTTTAATATTTTATAGTTATATGTGGTACAAAATTTCATATAAAAAATGACATTTTACAATACCTATTTTTTTATCGAATACAATTGAAAAAATTATCAAAGTTGTCATTCTTTTTTTCATATTCAACTAATTATAATACCTTTACGAATAAAGCTTATTGATTCAACTTAAAATTTAAATTCATAGGTATTATTTATACGTAAAGAGAGTTATGATTTATTTTTTATAAAAAAAAAAAAGAAATTTTCATCAACAACTTAATACTATATTCTTCATACTAATAAAAATTATTAATTTAAAATCCATTCACTGACATACATTATACACTCAGGTTATATAATAATTCATATTAATTTCTTACAAACTTACTAATATAATTTATCATTAAAACGTCACAAATCTATATATTATCTTTGTTTATGTGTATTTTATAACAAATTTACTTTTAATAGAACCAAATGACAAATGTCTTATAGCTGTGATGTGCTTTCGGCCAGTATCAATTATAAATGCTCATCGAATTGTAAATGGGTTTATTATCTGCGTCGTACAAAGTATTGCCAAACTTTTCTCAATTTCTCATTTTCAAATAAATATATGTTTATGCATAAATATATTATATGATTATTACTTATATTAAATATTTTAATTAATATTTTTTTAATATGATATAACATAGGTATGTATACATAATTAAAACTAATAATTATAAGATATATATAATATTACTATATTAGTATGCATTAAAAATTAATTAAATACTAATAATAATACTTAATAATATCCGAAAAAATTATGGTAAGACGCGAACACAATTTATCGAGGCTGACATTTTTCATTAATTTAAATAACTTAATTTTGTCAATATTTTGTTTGTAAACAATCTAAATCGTGTAAATTTCATTCGCTTTGAAAATAAGAAAAATTATATTTATTTTACATTTAAATTAGTTACATTTAATAGTGTGTATTTCAAATAAGCTTCGCTTTATTGAACCTTATAACATTTGCATTGTTTCCAAAGAAAATCATTAACATGTAATTACTGTCGTTATTAATCACTTATATTGAGGTAACAAAGAATCAATAATTGAAAAATACAATTTCTACTTCATAATTTTAAGCTCGTGTTATCTTCTGTAATTATAGGAGTATTTTTTATTTGAGTGTCTCAGAAATATTGTCTGTGTTATATCTTTAATAATTTATTAAAAAAATTATATGTTTTAATATAATTATATGTACATAAACTAAATTACTTTGTTATTTTAAAATACTAAATCTTCGTAAATGCAATTCATTGTACCTATAGGTATACTATACAAATATCTTATTTATATCACTTTTAATTTTCAATATAATTTATTAATTTTTTAAATACAAAATAATAATTAATAATTTATTACAATTTATTAAATATAATCAAATCAAAAAAATTAAGCATTATTAATTATAAATGGATGTTTTCCTCCTAGAAGTTCACCTACTTATTTGTATATCTATGTATTTTGTATATTGTTTTTTAGTATTAAATTTATTTTTTAAATTTACTTACTATAATATATCTTACTCGTATACCATATACTTATTGTATCCTTAGCATAAAATGTATATCTTTTATATAAAATAAATTATACTATTTTTAGTAAACCTTTGTCCTTTACAGATTATATTTACTAACAATTTAAATATTAAATTTTGTCTATAGATTGCTGTGATGTGTCCAGACGTTATTGCTGCGAATAAACAGTATATATTATACTATTATTATTGTTATTATATTATTATAATCTGTGGTTTTTAGTTTACCAAAAATACACAGAAATTTGATTAAAAAATAATGTCATGTGATGTCCTGATCGCGGTGACGCAACGACACGACGACGATTTACGTACATGGCGTATGAACGAGATTCGCGATGAAAGGGTGCCACTGAAACGTCTTTATACCCAGAGTAATATTTCGCGTCAATCCGGCTTTGCAGTGGGTCTCGATATCACTAAAATAAAGCATGATATTTGGTACACATAGCGTTGTACTTGGTGTGTGATCTTTCTATTCGCGTCGATTCGCGGGGATGTTAAAATCTGTAACCAAAGTACAGTTTGTAAAAAACGAAACAATACAGTCCGCCAGACGATATAATAATAATAATAATTTATGCACCACACGCGGACCACGGTCCGTGCATTTGCGCGCCACTTGCGAGCATGAGGTATTGATTTTTTTCCGACCGCGCTCACAGTAGTCATTCTCCGAGCGTCTAGTCTACAGTCTACACTACGGTCCCCGCCACCGTCGTGCGTGACACACAATTGCACAACAGCTGCTGTCTAACAACATTTTGTGCCATCCAGTGTACAGTCTAGTCATTAAACTTAACGCGATTGTTGTTGTTGTTTACGTTGTAAATATATCGTTTATGTACAAATTAGATTTAATAAAATTTCGATCGATAAACCGAACGTAAATGTAGGTAGCAACGGACGAATATCGTCAATTCTGTGGCCGTGTGTTTTCGGGGATTCGATTTGTGCTCTCGTCAAGACTGTTATTTTAAGTTAATCGCATTAGCTTGGAATAAAAATAAAAATGGAACACAACGACTACATAAACGACGGATACACGTGTTTCTACTGTCATACATCCTACGAAAAAGGTAATAACAGTTTGTGGTTTAATAGTTTTTTAATCCTAAACAATAAGATGTGTAGTATAACATTTTACGAGTTTATGTGATAAGAATATATGATAAGATAGCATGACATGAACTGGAATAGGTGAAAGTATCATGCGTTATAAAATATTTTGGAAGGGAGTATGATTACTATTACTGATAATAAATGTAGGTATTATATGAGTTATGAATGCAAATGCATAAACATAAAATAGTTGGCGTTACATGTTACATACGTCATGTCGCCATACCACATGCTTACTAATTTAATTTTACTACTATATCCAATAGTACGAGTATTACGTAATCAATAATCATGGATCAATTTGAAGGTTTTTTTTTTTTTTTTTTGTAATACATTTTTGATATATACTTAAAATTTATTTTACATCATTAAACACAATAAATTTTAAACACAGAAATTAAATTAAAATTTTATAGTAAGTTAAAATAATTGAATTTAAAGACTTTTTTCAAAAATAACGACTGAAAATTTAACAATATTCATAGTTTGAAAATAAATGTTGTCATATTCAGTTTAGTAGAACAGTGTGTTTTTTATAAATTATTTTGGTAAAAAGTCTATGATACATGATTTGAAATTAAATAAATATATATTTTACTCCTTTACCTTCAATAAAACAACCCATGTATAAAGAATAGAAAGATAACTTATGTGATGGAATTATTTTTTAGAAGAGTTTAAGGAAATATGTGACACATCTTATCAAAGAATTCAAAATACTTAGTACTGCATTAAACCTATCTAGGGTTTTTATTTATTAATTCATAAAATTAGCATGTTTCAAGTCAAATATTATACTATCTTTCAAAATTAACTGATTAATAGTCTTAAAAATGCATTGATAACTTTATAGTTTGAAAATTCAACGTGAGGAAATTGTATTTTTATAACA